TCAATGATGAGGTTCCGAATCTGGCGGAAAAAGGTGACCGTAGGATTGAAACCAAGTCCATTATCGCCGTATAGAGAGCCGTCGATCAGGCCGAAACTTGAGCCGGAGAAGTTGGAGGCAGCCTGAATGGTAGGAAGACAGTTTGGGTTTCCGATGATCTGCAACGAGTTAGCTACAACATTCCATACGTATCACATAAGTCCCCGTCTCCAAGTAACATCCAATATGTTCCATGTTCCCTTCAAGTATGCACGTATCTTCCATCCATACGTAAACCAGTCAGAAGTCATTGTAACTTCCAGAGTACAATTTCTTTTTTTTCTTGGCTGACTATAGTGATCCCATCTTTCTTGCACTGGACAGAGTACATACCTGAGTATAATAGTAGTCAATAATAGCACTCGAGATCTTGTATGTTCCACCTGGAAAGTACACCACAGCAGGCTGGTTAGTAGAACTCCCGCAAGTCCCAGGCGCACATCTGCCACCATATGAGATCGCTCTCTGGATAGCGGCAGTATCATCATGGACTCCATCGCCGACTGCGCCAAAAGACTTGACATTCCGGAAGACGGTGTAGTTGCCAGGGTTCGGATTGTAGCTAGCAATGCCCTGGTGTTTGATATTTTCCATCCAGTATGGAGCACATGACGCATCCTGATCTACAGATTGGCGAGGTCTTGCGTGGGGATGGGCGTGGCGTGGCGCAAAGTGTAGGTTGGAGGATCCATGGACATAGCCGTTGTTGGAAGGAGCGGACAGCGCGATTGCGCAAGAAGAGTACAATGCCAACACAACGGAAGATGCGGAAATCAACATCTTGGACAAAGACCGTAAAGAGCGACGAGAAAGTGAACAACAGAAGTTGAAGGCCGTCAGACTTCCGCAAGATCACATATTAATACAGCACGAGTAGGGGCGGATCTTTTGTCGCCCCTGTCATCATTTGGGGTCGTTGTAGGGCCGATCGACCGCGACTACATCCGGCGATCAGCCATGCGTATTTGCTTCGCTGATTGGGCACGCAGGCTGCGCGGTGCATTGCTGTTCGGGCTCGGATCGGAATCTGTGGCGTTCTTGTTGACGGCGTGTTTAGAAGATCTGAAACATTTAGTTCACCGGTTCGCAACGGATCATTGCAGCGCCAGCTAGCCCAATGTTAGCTTTCGCAATCAAACCATATACCAATTCCGGAGTCCTGGATGGGGGCGACACAGATTGTACGACCTGCACGTTGGGCGCATGATGCCTCCACGGACTGCGGGCACGCGGGTGCATTGTTGAGTCTCGGCCTCCTGCGTTAGCCTCGCAATGAATGGAAAACCATCACTTCATCTGAGGCAACGCTAACCGCATAGCTACATATCGGAAGAACAAGTACATACGTTAGAAGCCTACATTGTTCTTAGAAGTTGTAACCTGCGAGTTATATGCTGTTGTGGGCCGCTAAGTGTACTCGCACCTGCCTGTTCATTCTATCTCGCCCCCAGATTTCGGCAGGTGGACGTGCTTGCGGGTTTATTCCCGGTAATTCGACATCACCGCGCCACGAGCTTCACTGACCTGGTTCCGTGCCCTGTGTAGGTTCAAGACAGGGGTGAATGCACATTCACGTTGACCTAGGAAAAAACTGAATAGGTCTGCAGCCTACATTATCCTAGAAAAATGCGACTCAGGTAACCTAACGTTGATGAAGGCTCTAGACCTGTTCAGCTTTTTATCTGTAGGAGGTGCATTGATGTATGAAATGATATTTTTTCAGAAGGTGACGGTTACGAGAGATGACAGCATGTGGAGATAACAGATTTGGGGGTCGAAGAAGGAAATGCGCCTTTGATTCAGCCTGGGGCCTGGTCTCGGTTTGGCCTGGTCATCGAAGTATTGGAGGTTGCTAGATTGGGAGGTTGAAGTCGGGAGTTGATAGAATTCGTGTCAGCTTTAAGAAAATATGTCAAGGGTATGCAGATTGATGAGTGAACAGCATGTCCGTTCAAGTGTACATCGGTCCGTTTTGTTGTACAGGACAGCTTGTTCGTACAGTTGATCAAACATGCTCGACCTGCCAGTCGGGATGAGGAGGAATTGAAATCTCCGAGGACTGATAATCAGGTCCGAGTGAAAGGCGTTCAGTCATCGAGCAAGCAGTTTTCTTGTCATCAATACCTAGGTAGACTGAGGGACAGAAGACTTGATGAACTGCTGTCGGTCACCCTGCCATGCCGAACCAGACAGTCGAGAAAGAGGGTTCAAAGTAATGTCTGCTGTTCATGCTGAAGAGAAAGGGCGAGCACAACGAACGATCAGCCTTGCAAGGAGGGTGCGCGCAACCACGTGACCGACCGCATCGGCGATATCGCCCCCCAAACGCCGACAATCCAAACTTTTGCGTATCCAAGTGCACCGTAAACGTCATCTTCGAGATACCCAACTTGCATACCGCCTGTCGCTTTACAGCACCTCCTATCGCCTCACCTCACAACTCATACAAGACACCGCCATAATGTTCGGAGGTGAGTTTTGCCAGGGATTGCCGCATCCAAGACAACGAGGCTGACGTGCATGACAGCACCACCACAGCCATCCAAGCAGGAGCTTGCCGCGGCCGAAGCACAGACTATGACCGATATCAAGTGGACAGCTGCCAGCGCTGTCGTGCTGTACTTCTGTAAGGATGATCTGGGACTACATGGTGGTTGGATGGAGACTAACAGCCTGCAGCACCTCATCTCGTCGAATACGTCTCGAAACTCTTCTAAGCAGCGACTGCTCCCGCGATTACGAACTCGTCCGCAAAATCTAAAGCGCTGGACATGAACAGGTGTACGCACAGACGGAGTGAAAGAATGAAGCAATATACCAACGAACTACTGTACAACATACTCGCATGGCCTAGGGAATACATGCGCTTGTAACATTACTGGTTGAACGGACACAAATACCCTTACAGTATATGGGGATCGACGCATACGTCTAGAAGCAAAGAGAATTACCAAACGCCATCTGACATGTGCGCAATGATGAGACGATGAATATTTATGCAACGCTTGATTGTACGCCTTCTATGCATCCGTCCGCTGCTGCATGGTATCTCGCAACGCCCAACTTTTCGCAATATAACCTCTACATCACCTATGAATCGTACATGACAAATGCGCCCTCGTATTATACCCTTATCGCTTTGCTGGCCTTGACTGCTTTGCAGTCTCCCACTCGTCGTATTCGTCTCTGGTGTCGTCGACCCACTTCTTGAGGTGCTCGAGTTGTCGGTCGTAGTCTTTGAGGAGCTGAGATACGTGATTAGCATGTGTGGGGGATCATGGGATGGGCTTCTTACCTTCTCCAACGCCTTCTGGTCTTCATCTGTAAGAAGTTCACCATTTTGCTGCTGGTCAATCGTCTTGCCCAGCTTCTCAGTCTCCTCTTGTAGGATGCGCGCCCGCTCCCGCACACCGGACATGCGCGCCCAGATCTCTTCTTGACGCCCGCCAAGTACAGGATCAAAGGTCTGCTTCTCCAACTCGATGAGCTTCTTCTTCAACTCCTCCTCTGGCTGATCCATAACGTATCCCCGGTTTCGCAAAATCTGGACCTTAGTTGCAAGGGCCAGTGTCCGCTGAGTGAAGACGACGTGCTTGCGCTTAGCTTCGGTGATACGCGATGCTACCGTCAGCTCATGGGCGTCTTTGAGAAGCGACAGTGCATTGTTGATCTCGTGCAGGCGGGTTCGTAGCGCGGTGACAGCGGCTGCTTGTTGCTTGATGCGTTCTCCAACTTGCTCAAAGCCACGCGCAAGCACGGGAATAGCTCCTGGACTTGGCTTCTTGGACAAAGCCTCCTCCCATTTCCGTTCGTCTTCACCCTGCGAGGGACCGTAGAAGGGCGCTTCTTCAGGCTTGACCGAGTTGTAGAAGTAGTATTGGAAGACGCATTCGGAGCTGCTGGGATCCCACTTGTTATTCAGGATCCGTATCTGCTCGATGACCGACTTCTCTCCTGGCAAGTGTTAGCGCGACTTCAGCGGTGATCTCGAGGTGCCGTACTGTGACCGTTCATGGTATTAGCAGCGAAAGGTTGCGCGGAGGACTGGCGCAACTGCGGAAGCCCTTCGCGCTGTTGTTGGATGCTTTGCGCCTGAATGTTGTTCAGGACGGGCGCAGGCTGCAATGAGGCGCCGAAGAGGCTGTTGCTCATGTTTGGCTGTTGTTGCTGCCCCTGCTGCTGCTGCTGTTGCTGTTGCTGCTGTTGCTGGCCAAACAGACTTGAGCCGGCATTTTGTTGTTGTTGCTGCTGAGGTTGTCCGAAGAGGCTTGAGCCTGCGTTCTGCTGCTGTTGTTGGGGCTGGCCGAACAAGCTCGATGCCGAGTTCTGCTGCTGTTGCTGCGGCTGTGTCGAGCCAAACAGGCTATTGGTGTTGTTCTGTTGAGGGGCGGTCGATGAGCCGAAGAGGTTCGACTGTGTCGCGTTCGCCTGCTGCGGCTGTTGCTGCTGCGATTGACCGAAAAGACCGCCAGCTGGTGCTGTGGTGCTTCCAAACAGAGTGCCCGTCTTCTTTTCTCCACCTGCCGGGTTTCCAAAGCTGAAAGACATGTTGTATAGAAGTCGGAGTATGCCCGTGTCCCTCTATGTAGATTCGATGGTGATTCGAACGAGTGTCGTTATTCAGGTCGCGAATGGAGGAGCTTCGAATGTTTGTTTTCGGTCGCGCGTAGGCACGCGAAGGAGGCGATCGCTGAAAGTAGGCGCTGGTATAATTTACAGAAACGATCAATCGGCGCACATCCTGTCTGATGAGAAGCAGAAGAGGCGTGTAAAGGCGCACTTGGGGTGCAGATGGAGCAGTGAGAGATTGTTGTCTCTCGCTCACAAAGGTCAGGCACAAGCGCGGCCCATCGCATCCCTGCCAGTTTTAGTGAGCGCCAAGACCGACTTCCGCGACGACCTCACGAGCATCATCGCCAATTCGTGAGCCGATAGCCCGCCATTGGCACCTCACCCTCAAGATGTCGTCGCGCCAGCCCAGGTAAGCGCTCTCTGCCAATCTCATGGCGCTCACATATGCTGACTAATTTGCAGGTTCAACCAGCAAGCCCTCATCGACACCACCCCTCTACCCGACGACATCCCCAAGGTCAAGGAGCTCGGAGCCAGTTCTGCGCCCCTCCTCAGTGCCTCGTTCTTCATTGGCGCGCGATGCAAGGCCTACAACGATGACTACATGATGTGCAAGACCGAGGCCAACGGCCGGGGAGAGTTTGACTGCATGAAGGAAGGCCGCAAGGTCACCAGGTGTGCGGCTAGCGTGTACGTACTGGCGGAAGGTCTAATACAAGACGCCGGATATTGACAGCTGTGGCAGTATCAAGGACATCAACGAGAACTGCCTGGAACAGTTCCGCACCCACTGGCAATGCCTAGAGAACCACAACCAGCAACTCTGGAACTGCCGGTCAGAAGAGCGCAAGCTCAACAAGTGTGTATTCGAGAAGTTGGTATGTCGCGGTTATCGTTGTGCCTTACGTCTTTCGCTAACACCACTTCAGAAATTGGAGAAGACGATACCAGATGCGCCAAAGGGCGAGACCCCAGTCCACCTGCGCACACGCAACATCTTTGCGACCCACTGAGCTTTGTATATAATTACCGCTGGGATGGACACAAGGAAAATGAACGACATCACTTGAAATGCATAACTAGGACGAATCACTGCACGACTGTTTGTAAGGTGACGAAGCGATCAGTTTGCTGCAACTATAGGTCACGTACAACAGGTGATCTACTACACTCCGACCCCTTCGTCAATGTACCTTCGCATTCGTTTTCTACCGTATCTTCTTATTGTCGCGTTTCCCATCTTCAGACAATGCTACGTGAATCAGGCGGTTCACCGCAGCAACATTACGCATTCATGATTCCCGCGGGGCTTGAATAGCCGCTGTCACCAGCTATTGTTCAATAAGTCAGCGAGCCCTATTAATACCCGTCATCTTCGCAATTTCTACTCCTGACAGCTCCGTCTCCCACACTCAGCGTCATCATTTGCTCTTTTCCATCAATCCCCCTGACAGCGCTCAGATCAGCAATCACGCTGAATCCGACATGATGGCCACGTCAGCAGCACCTTCCGCCAACCCCTTCAGTGACAGATACGCCGAGTCTCCTACGCAGCCTACGAAGACCGTCGACACCGATGTATTCCTCAAGGTCAACACCAGCAGAAAGCCTGGCTATGACAGCGACAATGCATCTCACAACATCCAGCACACTATTCTGGGCGAGCCTGGTGTTCAATGGGTTCCTAACCTCAAATGGACCCCTCCCTCCTCCCGCGGCTCTCGCGTAAGTCTGTCCAGCATGGACGGTTCGTCCACAGCGCCCTCCTCACCGATTTCCGATGACACGGATGAGCCTATCGAATGGAATAGTGGTAACCTCATGTACCTCATCAGCGTCCTGAAGCCGGAAGAGCTTGAAGCAGATACAGTCACCTTTGCTCCACCACTTTCGGTGCTAGAAGACCTCAAATACCCATTTCACCTTCAACTCTACAACAAGGAACGCACATTGGTCGCCAAATCAGACCCAATTTGTTTGAGCCCAAAACAAGCCCGCCGCTCGATCGCTTATGACCTCATGTCAGACCACAAGGTTATCGACACCACCATCGGCAAGCTGAACGCACTGTGGGCCATCCACAGTAGCTCAGTGCCTACATTGGCGTCGTTGCTACGCGGAATGGAAGAGATGATGACCGTTGCCGACGACGAATGGCAGCAGCGTATCTATCAGCTGAGCGGCGCAGTCGATGGAGACTACGTTGGGGAGTGTGTGGATGGAGAATGCTCCATAGAGACTCGTCTGGAGTACTACCTGCTGCTGAAAGGCAGGGACGCCCTGGAAGATTCTATGCGGTGTGTAAGTCATGTTTTGGGCTTGGACTCCGACGAGGAGAGGGCGGAGCGCGCGGAAATGTTTGGAGAGGCAGGTAGCTTCCTCGAGAAGGCGTTTGAGGAGACGTTAGCTGAGGTGTAGGGGCATGTTGTCGTCCGGGTCGTGTTTGGCATGGGTAGAAGCGATGGTAGAATGGGATGGGGACCTCCTGGTTTGTATATTGGTAGCATGAAACGGGCTTGTTGCTCATCTGAATACAATCAGGCTCTATCGAGCTACTGGGTATCTCTATCGTACATTCATAATCATTACCACACTCAACATCAAGCCCTCCTTCCGCCTCCTCCACCGCCACCCCTTGCGGCCCCCAAGAACCTGTCTCTCAGACTACCCCTGTTAGCTGCCGCGTTCCCTGCAGGTGAGCTCCTCAAGAACGAGCTGCCCTCAAGCAGCGAACTACTACCATCCATGCCGAAGCTACTACGCCCATTCCCCAGATCAACACCCAGACTAACCCTTCCAACAGCGGGATGTCCGCCTCCAAACATCATGCCCCCAGGCAATCCCGAACTTCTGCGGCTTGAAATATGGCGTCCACTGGAGCGGCGTCTATGTGAACGTGTCGAACGCGCGGAAGCCAGACCAGGTGGAAGGGCGCTATTATCCACGTCGCTATCATCTTCGAGTTCGGAATCCGTGTGTTCGTAACTCCCGGCTTCTGGTACATCGTCATCGAGATCGCGCTCATCTTGCAGGACGCCTGCCATCTCCGCCTCCTCCATCTCCAACATGTGCGATACTTCTGCTTCCAACATGCTGCCCTCGATGAAGCTGTCCTCGTTGAACGGTACTGTGCTTTCTTCCTGGACATCACCGCTGACTTCGCTAGCTTCCTCCTCTGATTCTTCGTCGCTGGAGACCTCGGAGGCGGATGCGCTGGGTGTGCTTTCTGCCTCGGGGACTTCGTCGTCAAGGTCTCTTTCTTCTTCGCCTTCTCCAGCCTCTTCCGCCATCTCTCCTCTCTCCCTTTGCTCCTCGTTTGCGGCGTCTTGTTGTGCGGCTGCCAAATCCATCATGGCTTGCTCTCTGCGCTGCATCATCTCTTGTTCCTCCTTCTCGAACTTTTCGTCCTCCCTGGCTTGGAGTGTTTTGGTGACACCGGGTGGACGAATCCAACCCGCACCGAATCTGCGAACATTGAGTTTACGCTGGGCGATTGTGTTTTCGTCGGCGGCTAAACTGGCGAGGAATTGATTTTGAATGCGACGAGGGCCATGGTGCGAGGTAGGGCGTCGCTGGTTTTGGCCATGGGCTGTGTCTGGAGGGGAATTCGGGTGGGTATCTTCGAAAGCGGCGTGGGTGGTGTGGTGGGAGGGCCAGAGGCTGGCGTCCTGGAAATCTCGTCAATTTGTTGCTAACATGACCTTTGTTTGGAGCACTCTGAGATACCCGTGAGAGTACTTACTGGGCGCGGCGCGATCATAGGCAACGAAAACATCTTGAATCTCGTGACGGCTTCGGACGACGTAAAATGGAATGGGAAAGTTGCAAACAAACGATTGCGCGGGTTGTCGCGTCGGAACGCGTCGTTTGGTGTTTCCTCGTGCTTGATGTGAGCTCATCGCCCCACCTCGGTTCGTCCTAATACAGCAAGGTGCAGCCCACCTGCACCGCTCTACGTCCGCTCTACGTCCGCTCTTCTACACATTATGCTACCTTCCTTCATGACTACACGTTCTCAAAAACTTCAAAATCCTGCGCCAGATATTCTATGTCTTTGTCCTGGCTATCCCAAATATTCAAAATATCGGCGCTGACGACCCATGTATCTGTCACGCGTATCCAGAAATCCAAACATAAACGTCCAAAAGACATGGATTTGAAAGCATCGTCTATCTAAAACTGTTCCTATTCCTCTCTTCTGCTCGCATCGATCAAAATCATCTGGACAATTTTCATGTTGGTGTAGTCCAAATCCTCAGGTTGTCGACCGTATGGGCCGCGTAGGAAACCATTAATCTCAATACATGTGTCGATGTTGTGACCAAAACACAATCATGAAAGCCGCATGGGATTTGAAAAATCAGTGTATCGGTCCGAACGCGAATGCGAGTGTGATATACCGCGAATATACACCGGTAACACCGGTGTACGACTGGTACAATACCCGGTGTCAGTCAGAGTCGAGGTCGAGACTGAGGTCTACATGAAACTATTCGCGTACGATTTCGATCCACAAAAGAGCCTGAGAACCTCCGGGCGCCATAATAGGCGTTCTGGACGACACATCAAATTGATCGTGTTTCGTCCGTGGGGTGGAATATCAACCAAGTGCCGGGCTTGTTGCGGGTAGCAGAAAGCAGTTGGCTGTAAGCGACGAGTACCACCGCAACGGGGGCAATCCCTTGCGAATATACTTTACAAATCGGGCTGCAACGCCTTGTAAAGGGCTGTCATATCCATCGTTAATCGGCCCTGCATGGAGTCATGTTCAGCCTCCGCGGACACTAATCGTCATGTGTACATGTACCTGTACATCCATCTCGTGGGTCCCCATCTCGAAGGAGAACGGCGCATCTCCGCCCTACTATTCCCGCTGTTACATCCAGCCCATGCCCCATCGTCGTCAGCCTCTGCTACGCTTAGGGAAAACGACCTTCGTCTACGGCACGACTTCGGACTAGTCCATGAGATCTTTTCCACTTGTGCTCCGGCTTGTCGGTCGCCTCCGCGCCGACATCGCGAACCGCGGACCCGACAATTTCACAAGGTTTTGACGTGCGCTTGGTACAAGGCTGGTAGTGCAAGGTTGCGGAGACGGTGTAGACGTAGCCTATTTCGAAAAAAGCATCTAACGTCCATAATCTCCGTGTCTGTATCCGTCAAAAAGACTATTTTGATATCGCATGGCTAACGATGCGATGCCTATGCGATCCGCTTGCCGTGCCGGGTAGCTCCCCATTCAGTAGTCCCGGAGGCGTGCCCGCAGCAGGCGAACGGATGCTTGGCGACCAAAGCTTAACGCTTACGTTGGCGCTAGAATCGCGCATTTTAGCCGCCTCGCCGCCCACAGATGGGTCGAGATTCCAGGCGTGCAGCCGATGGCTTAGAGAGGATGTGGCATGAGCAAGCGAAGGTTAGCAGGCTGAAATGGGTGGCAGTGACGATCGAACAGGCGCGTCGGAACGAAACACGGTGAAGAGATTTCGGATAGCGGGTAGTAAGCATAGCGGGAGTAATACCATTTGCGGCTCTCGCGTTGAAGTTGTTGTATGGAAGCAGCCTTGGGAACCTGACATCCCGTGAAGCATACGACGGTCCTAATGTTTCCAATCGTAATAGCAAGACGTACTCTGGAGCATACGCCGGGAGTCAGGCTGCTCTAGTTGCAACTTTGCACGGCTAGAACTGTCAATAGCCTCCAGGGCGTTCGTATACAGTGGTTGCTGCTAACAATGTATTGCCGTAGTGCACGACGCAGGAGAAAGTGGGAAGTGGGGAAAACCCTATTCATGTGTTCCAGCTTGTCAAAAGGTCCTTTCCTTGGAAGACGGAAGCTCCGCTTACAACCTGGACGCGTCCTGCACCAGTACGCGCGCTAGATACGTTTCAGTGTCGAGCGTCGAGAACTTTGCGCGGAAACGTAAGAGGCGTCTGCTTAGGGTTGCAGAATCACCTGAGTGGCTGGCGGCGCGTCCGCGATAACGGTATCGTGCCCATGGGAATGCTGCAGATT